ATTTTGCTGTATTGACGGTCACAACTCGCAACAGCATAGGCATACGCATCGACAGTGTCGGGCTTGTAAAGAGGATATGGCGCATTGTTTATTTGAAAGAACCAATCTTGTAAACCTGACGATATGAAATTTAGACCAGCATTGGTAAAGCCAAAAGTGGTATTTCCCACAGCGGGAACGGGCGCTTGTTGGATATAATATTGTTCGTAAGGAGACCCACCGGCTTTTTTCTCTCCGCTATTTCGCTGGAACGCAAAAACTTTATCAAGAGACATTGTTGAGACCGAACCGCGAATACTGCCACCCGCACTGGACTGGTCTGTCGTAAATGTGTTGAAGTTTTTATAGGGCACATCCAACGAACCTTTTTCTTCAAGTAGACGACTTGTTAACGCATCATATAATCCGTTTCCGATAGAGATAACTTCAATTGTAAAAAAGATGTTGTCAATTGTGTAACTACAGCCGTTTCCACTAAAATTGGGATTTGCGTTTACAGCCGCTCCTCCCAAAACTGCTCCTTCATATTGGACAGGTAAGACACTTGGGCTTGTTACTTGGATAGTAAGAAACACTTCGGGGAGGCGGTTCAAATCGAGAAACGTCGGCTCACATCCACTAAAACCCAAGAAATTAGCCAAAATGAGTTGTTTTTGCTGACCGAAATTCGCCGCTTCATATGTGCCTGTCTCATCAATAGATTCTAAAATTGATTGATTTAGCACCTTATCATCACTCATATATTTGGCTGCTGACTTTTCAATATTTTCTTTCATTGTAGATACAACATTATAGCCAGAAAAACCACTGTCGAGCGCTATACCACCTGCCGAAAATGTCAGGCGGTCTATAACCGACGCGAAACCATTTTTAGGAATTAAAGCAAAAACTCTATCACTGCCACTGGCATCGGATGGACCAATGCCTGTTGTCGAAAATGTTCCGTGAAACGCCAAACTTTTCATATTGACCAGCGCATTGACAGGCAAGGAAAGTCTCAATTGTGATGCCCCACCACTCGGTACGCACGAATTACGTGACCCAAGGCAGGAGGATTATATTACAATGAAAATTGGATATGACATTGGAGAAAGGGATGCCAAAAAGGTCAAGGTTATCGCAGACATCATTGAGAGCATTTTTCCTGACGAGGATGTCAGAGAGAATTACATTTGGTATATTTCCACGGCTCTCTATGGCGTTGTTCTTGAAAAGTTAGTTATTGCCAATGGAGGCGGAGGCAACGGCAAAGGACTCTTAAACGAACTTGTCCACTGTATGCTCGACGTGTTTAGTTACATTGCTCCGAATCATTTACTAACTCGAGAACTTAAGAGCGGTAGTAATCCTGAAATTGCTAATATGATGAAAAAACGAGCCATTTTCTATCGAGAGCCAGATGTGTGAAAAAACTAAGTCCCGTACATCAACTTGACGTTAAGGTACAGTCCGTAGTAGCAGGATAGGCACAGTGGGTGAGAGGGGAAGCTCAGTGTGCTACCTTACGGTAGCGCAGTCATAAGATAGTAACTGATTATAAAGGAGGGGGAACGGGAAGGAAGGCCTAACTAGGGTAGGTACAGTACTAGCATGATGGTAGTAGGGTAGTGGTAGTGTAGCGTACTGTACTACAGTATAGTCATGGAGATATAGAGATAGAGACTCTCGGAGAGAGAGACAGACAGCAAGGTCAGTCTATATTCTTTGCACTCCCCCATCATAGTTGCCCTGTGATCAATGTACTTGTAATGATCGTGGGGAGCTATGATAAATGAGCTATGTCTCCAATCGAGCTAAGCGTTCCTGCAAGTCCGCAACAAGATTTTCCAACGTCAAAACACGGACAGCTAAGTTTGGCCGACCTGGAAGTGCCAAGTCTTGATCTGGCACCACAGGAGATTCCTGTAAGACTGTAGGTGGATAAAGCATTGCTACCTGCGCTGTCGGCTCTGAGAAAAACTGTTGATCGTCGCCTGTCTTTTTGATGAGGCATAAGAGAAATGAAAGGAAAAGATGTTAGATCAGACCCGGTTGCGTAGAAGATAGCGTAAAGCGACAAGGACAGTAGCGATAATCGATATCGAAGATAGTCAATGACGAGGGGATAACATGTCATCAAAGTTCTCTTCTTCAGGATCATAATCTTCATCTTTTTCCTCTGGCTGACCTTCATCATTTGATGCAATTGGAGTAGTTGGTGGAGTTCGACTCTGGATTGTAGCAGTCCCAGTATGCGCTGCAATCTGATCGACTGTATCGGTAACGTGGCTAAGTGCAGTGGTAAGTTGAGAGATTCTGGAGGCTAGGTTTGCTAGCTTGCCATCAATTTCCTTCGTTGTAGTCTCGAAAAGAGTGCGTTGATCTGCCAAAGCGTTGAGTATGGTCGGAATAATCAGGTTACCCGCTATCTTCAAATCCGCATCACTGGGAGTTGCACCCGAAGGCACAGCTGCAGTAGCGGTAGGAGGATCGGCAAACGTAAACTTGGAAGCGTCGAGTTTATTATTCTCTACTATGACATCGCGGAAGTGAGTGATTTTGAAAAACTTCAAAGACTTATCAGCATCGGAGAGTATGGCCTTATACTTTTCATTGTTCCAATGCCGCTTCTGTTTTAGTAACTTTGCGTATTTATTTTTAGTTTCGACCAATTCATTGGTGATGCCTTTGCCAAATGTGTCAAAGAAACACTTCCCTGGAGCCTAGAACCGCCCACCTGCTCTCGCTAACATATCCCGCCGGATCCCACCAAATAACTACCGTTTTTGCTTGTTATAAACTTGTTTACATGTGGTTTCCTCTATGAATGATTATTTTTCATACTATTGTTTTCTTTGACAATGAAACAAATGATTATCTTGCCAAATATCTCTCTGCAACACAATTCAATCCATTCATAAAGCATTAGCATATTGACCAAAAATCCAGCGAGGAAAAAGGCTGATTGGATACCTCTCTCTCTATCGCCGTCTTTTCTCAGCTATATTCTGCATCCTTCGCAATGACTTTTTAAGGTCGAGAGCTGATTCAAGCGGCCAGGCACCAGTTTAGCTTAGGGCTCGCAACTTCCCGCAAGTCGAGATTCGTCACAGTATGGGTAGTTTGCATCATGGACATGGCAGTAGTCTGTGTCACAGAAGTACCCCGTCTGTTTGCAGAGAGCTCGAATTGCGGCAAGTGTCCTATCTTGAAGAGGTTTATTCTGTGATGGACTCGTGGCATGATTCCCTGCATAAAAGAATGACATCAGCGCTTTCTCGACATGACCAGCTGTTGGGTTCCATGGTGGCCATGGACAGGCCAAGCGTGTTCCAGGAGCAGTGGCGTCGTTACGCGGCGGGAAAGCGCCCAGAGCTTTCGTCTGACCAGGGCCTCGTTGGCAACCTCTGAATGCGCGTGAAAAAGGAGTCTATGGCCCGAGCCAACAACGCCGATGGCTGTGTTTGTCACAGACCTCATAGTGTTTGGAGTGAAGAGAAGGCCCAGTCATCTGGGTGGGCTGTTTTCCACCGAACCACAATGCATCAAACCCCAGGCCCTGTCTTTGAAGCACAATATTACGAGGATCCTTCGCTGGAGTGCTGAGGTGCACACGTTGGTCCAACGCTGACGACGCGAAGTTTTGTAGCGTCATCTCGCATGCTCCACACTTGCCGATGGCAGCGGCTATATTATCGTGATTCCACTTTCCGTCCGAGGGTTTACTCCCACATTCAGAGGAAGAGAGGTAGCATAGGTCGGTTGCACATACTTGTCCCTATTGTTTTTGATAATCTCTTTGTAGCTTAGGTGTCGCGCTACAGCAGCGATCCCACCGCCACTGCGGCGTACTAGCATCAGAACATCCCAGGCATCATCATTTAGTTTGATCGCGTCGCTTTCGTGATTTATATCGTAGTGGCTCTCTGAAGCGCAGAAGCTCTTATGAACGACTCAACACGAGCATTCCATCAGCTCCTTGACGTCTTCACAACGCGCCCAAGTGCAAGCTCCAAAGAACCTGCCTCTAAGGCTAGTGCAGTGTCTACGGGTGTCCCGCGATTGATCAGCTCCGCAAGAGTACGAGCCGCAACATGTTCCGGAGAGTTCACATCGAACAGGAAATTGTTTTGCACCAACAACGCCAGAAATGTCCCGAGCCACGAACGATTACCACTCGTGAGACTCTACACGAAGTCCTCCACCTGCCGGCACTGTCCGGGAATAAACCTATTTATCTCGCCGCGCCGATCGACTCACTACAAATGAATCGACACGTCTCCCGAATTCTGGAATGTGCCGCTAATGCCTAGCCATGCGCCTACGAGCATTAACTTCTTCCGAGTCACTTTGCCAACTTAAGTATGTTCTTGTCGTAAAGCATGACTGTTACTTCTGCAGGGTAGGCCTTGCCCTCCCGCTATTCCATTTTAATCTCCCCGCTTTCCCCCCTGCCTTAGCGCCGCAAGCGGCTGGGTTGAATTAAAAACGCGGTCCATGATGCTGTTGAAGATTCCAAGCCATGGTGGTTGTGCGGCCAAGACGACGTTGTCAGCTTTCCTGAAGATGCAGCATAGTCTAGCTAACATCATCAACAACCAACGTTACCCTTTGCTCGCTAATTTACTGGATTATATCTTTGGATATATTCTGTATATACCCTAACCCTAACCCTAACCCCAACGCTCTGGCCGTGTTTAACTTGCTTAAAGTAGACCCTACAATACGTGCTCCTCCGAAACCAACCTACGCTGCGACGGTTAGCTGTCAGCCTAGCTGTCAGCTAGCTCGGCTCGTCTAGGTACCCCTCTAGCCCCCCTGGTTAAGCTCCTACAATATCACTCGCATGCGCACTTGATGGAGCTGATCGAATTTGAGCTCGACGAAGCTCATCGGGTCGATAATCACGAGCCGGCGGAGGAATTGAGAAATAATCGGGAACAGCGTTCGCGATATATATCATTCTTCTTTGACAACCTTTCTGCCGAGCGGTTGACCACGGTATGCTACGGTTCGATCTCAGTGATGCATGCCGTTGGTGCGATGCTACCGCCACTGTTGGTAGGCTTGCTTATGGGAACCGCAATAAATGAGAGGCAAAGCGTGTCCCGCAGAAGAAGACTGATTAATTTTTATTCTTCATGCTTAGCAGTGTCCTACAGCATGAATGCGACTTTACTGTGCTTGAAAGTCTCTGTACAAAGTGCTCTGTCAGCCCGAATTCTGACTAGAATCCAATTACAACTTTTTGATGCAATTCTCATACAAGACATCCAAACTTTTGACGAAATTAGGGTTGGTGACCTCTTGGAGAGAATGAGCACCGACGCTTTGATTGTGAAGGATGCCATGGCGCGCTCGGTCATCAACTTTTTAGAGGGACTAATCAAGTTATCTGTCGCTCTTGGATTTATGACATGGGCCAGTCCTATCCTAACTGGTATATTGCTGACTTGCCTGCCAATATTGGTCCTCATCTCTGTACCTATGTCTAGGGCACTGAAGTCAGTCGCTCGGCAATTGAGTGAGGCGAAAGCAGCAGGCACGAGTATAGCGCAGGAAATGATATCTTCTGTGCGCACGGTTCGTGCCTTTGCCTCTGAAAGTCTGGCCCGCAAGCTCATCTCGAATTTCCTTGTGGGCCCGCAAGTGGAGGAACACAGGAAAGCGCCCCTGCTATGTCCAACTCTTGAAGATGTGCCGTGGCATTCCACGTGCTTCAAGTTACTTCGGGGCAAAGATATTGAAGGTCAGACTGTCATTCGGCTGTCGTGTTTTCAAGGCATGCTCGCGGGTCTTTTTATTTGTGTGCTGATGCTCACCGTCTTTGGGGTTCTCAGTATAACAATTTGGCTGGGTTTCTTGGCTGTACTCGACGATCAGCTGGACCCTGGTGTTTTGTTGAGCTTCTTCTTGTATGCTTCTTTTGCGGTCGGATGCACCATGGGCTTACTAGCAGCCACCGCTTCTTTAATGAGTTCGCTTGGAGCCGTATTGCGCATCACTGCGATTCTAGATCAAGAACCTGTGATACCTATCTGTGATATGAATGCATTACGGCCAAGTACAATCAAAGGCCGCATTGAGTTTAAAAGTGTCCACTTTGCCTATCCATCAAGGCCACTGGTCCCTATATTGCGCAACTTTAGCCTATTGATACCCGCAAACAAAGCAACAGCGCTAGTAGGCATGAGCGGGGGTGGGAAATCTACAGTGTTATCTGTCTTGGAGCGCTTCTATGACGTTGCTGGCGGGCAGGTCGTCCTAGATTATCACGACATTACCACCTTAGATCCATGTTGGCTGCGGCAGCGCATTGCCTACGTGCAGCAGGAACCAGTCCTCTTCTCTTGTTCAATCGCTGAGAACATTAACTTTTCCCGCCGTGCGCAATCTTCACGTGACAAATCGACCAGGCGTAACTCTGTTGCAAGTACTCTCACCAACACTGATATGGTGAAGGCCGCAAAGGAAGCGAATGCATTTAAATTTATTGAAAATATGAGCGATGGATTTGAGACCGAAGTCGGTGAGCGTGGCATGCTGTTGAGCGGAGGTCAAAAGCAGCGCATTGCAATCGCGCGCGCCATTGTATCCAACCCGCGAATTTTGCTCTTAGACGAAGCGACGTCCGCGCTGGACTCGGAGTCAGAAGCCCTTGTACAGCAGGCGTTAGATCGATTGATGATTTCCCGCACCGTGGTTGCCATCGCCCATCGCTTGAAAACAATTGTCAACATGGACCAAATATCATTGCTCTCACGAGGCGAGGTGGTAGACTCGGGATCTCACGCTGACCTATTGCAGCGCTGTGCTGCATATCAGCAGCTTGTGCGTGCCTCGACTCACTAAATTTGGCAGGTGCGTCTCTACTGTCGGTCTGTTGCATCATTTTGTTCGATTTATTTGGTGGAGAACCTTACCTTTATGGATAGCCTTGGAAGCACCTGGGATTTGGAATCAAACTAACCCCAGCCCGCCCAGCCCTCGCACCCCTCCCGCCGAAGCGCGAATTAAAAACGCACCACTCCGGAGTTGCGACCGTGAACGGAGCCTCCAGTTGTGTACGACTGCAGGTGGAAGGAATGGAGAATGGTAAGATGGCTATCAAAACCAGGTACTCTCACTTGACGGGGGGGCAATACCATTCAAACGTCGGGGCAAAGTTTCCTGGCCACCCGATTTTTGTTGCAGCACTTTTGATGCATTTTCGGACATGGGGCGACGCCCCAGAGCCACTCGTTCAAAAATATCTCTGCAACAAAAATAATGAAGGGCTTCGGACAAAAGCTCAGAGCCACTCGTTCCAGAGTGGTGCTTGAATCGTATTGCCCCCCGGGCGTCACTTAGCGAACAAGGATTGCGGGCCTCGGAGAAACGCGTTGCAATGCCGCACAAGTATTGCTAATTATGCCTCGGCTTACGCCCCTGGCCAATGCTCCTCGCCCCCTCCTGGCCGAAGCAGCATCGTACAAGCAGCCAAAAAAGTCCTCTCCACGAGTGCACGCGGCGACACCGGAGGAGAAGCAAGAGGAGTGGAGCTACAATGTGTCCACGGGCGTGGCGAAGCATGCCTTCCAAGAGACGCTTGGGTCCGAGTATGGCGTCATTTTTTCCGGCGCGGACGCAGACGGAGCCGGCGAGGTGACGACGGAGGATTTCAAGCTCTTTGCCAAAAAGGTCGCGGAGACGGAGCTCAAGCGCGCCCAGGAGGACCGGCGCCTCTCGAAGATGATCACGCGCGCGGTGGGCCAGGGCGACGACCTCGACGCGTCGCTCCTCGAACAGTAAGATCCAGCGATTTTTTTTGCCGGAGAATTCTTTTTAACCTTGGGAGACGCCCGCGCAGGCTGCAGACGCTCGACGAGAACGGGGACGGCGAGATCAGCGGCGACGAGGTTGTGATCTTCGCCAAGAACTTTGCCGCGCAGCAGGTGACCCTCGCCGAGGAGCACGCGCGCGCCGAGGCCGCCGAGGCCGAGTCGAAGCAGCTGCGGACGCGCCTCGGCTACGCGCTCGGCGCGATCCTCGCCATGAGCGCGCTGCTCACGCGCGCCGCGGCGCGAGCGGGGGCGGGGGTTGACCAGGCGCGGCGCGACGCCGGCCGCAGGTACTATGCTCCTGCCGGTGCGTGTCAGGCGGACACCCTAAAAGATGCCGACTATTATTTCAAGGCTACATGGTACAATGGCACCGATTTGAGATGTGAGACGACACCAGCGTCAGTCCGAGGTTGGTACTATTTAAAATGTGAATGTACCATGGGCTTCTTGTGGGTCTTGAGTCCCGTTATTTGTTGTTGAATGGCAAGAACGTCTCCATCTGCTCAGGTGCCTTGAGAACTCAGCTTATCCGGTCTTTTGTCCCGGTGGATTTTTTTGTGAACGTCCATTCAGGTATCAGGAATGCGAGACTGGCTATTATTGCAAAAGAGGTAGTGTAGCACAGATAAGCTGCCCACCACATTCAACATGTCCTGCTCGATCAGAGGTCCCATCGGTAGGAATTAATATATACACCCTTGTATTTATCATCATTGCGATGTTTATGATGTTTAGTGCAAAAACCTTGCTGCACAATCTGTGGCTGCGAGCAGAAAGGGTGCTCATGGAGGATTCATTGGAGACTAGAGCCAGTGGAGTTGACATGGAGCCTACAGATGCGTCGCCGAAACTGAAGAATAAGTTCACAATAGAATTCTATGATCTACACTGTAGCTTACGAAACGGCATCACGATCTTAAACGGGGCCTCCGGGACGCTCTCATCTGGCTCATTTACCGCAATTATGGGCGCTTCTGGAGCTGGTAAAAGTACACTCATGAACGTCATTGCTGGACATGTTGGAAAAACAAGTGGAAAAATATTGGTGAACGGTGTTGAATGTGCTAGTCTGAGATGTGTCAAAGCGGAAGTTAGTTTTGTTCCTCAAGAAGACATTATGCACCGAGAGCTGACGGTATTGCAGAATTTAACCTTTTCTGCTGCAATTCAGCTCCCCCGGGAAACAAGTGAGAGACAGCGAGGGCGTTGCGTCTACGACACGCTAATCAAGCTTCACCTCGAACATGTACGTCACAACACTGTTGGTGATGAGATCCGCCGGGGCATTTCGGGGGGCCAGCGTAAACGTCTCAATATTGGTCTTGACCTCGTCTCGTGCCGCTCTATACTATTTCTTGATGAGCCAACAACAGGCCTCGATGCTGTGACCGCTACAGAAATTGCTCAAATACTGACCACAATTTCCAAAGAGAGCATGATGACGATCACGGCTGTGATTCACAACCCGGGTGTCCGAGCATTCAGCCACTTTTCTGATCTAATTCTACTACAAGCTGGCGGTCGAGTGGCTTTCGCCGGTGGCATGGAGGATTGTGAAGGATATTTTGCCTCTCTTGGATTTCGTCGAGATTTGGAAGTCGACGGACCGTTTCCGGACTTTGTGCTCCTCTGTCTGTCAGGCGACAGGCAACCATTGGGCGAACCAACTTGGGACTCGAACAAGTCGTTTTCTATTGCGTGGCTCCAATACAAATCCAGCATGAAGGAAGGGGGCATGCCAATGCACCACCCTACTATGCTACCCCCATTTAAAAAGCAGCCTCCTAGCTTCAAATTTCAATTTATGCTCTGTCTTGAACGCGCCATCATGCAGGCTTACCCTTCCTTGCGACATTTTATCCGCCTCTATCTTTTCGCCCCGTATCTGATGGGTATTGTACTTGGTCGCATCATTGGTAACCCCCTCGCTCACAATGTCGTTGGTGCACATGCGACAGATATCTGTCGTCAACAGCACCCTGATTTGATTGAGAGATGTCAGGATCTTCAACAAAATGGTTACATGAATGCAATTCAACCGTGCGGGTTCAACGTGCTTGCCTTGTACGGTTCAGTGGCCAGTGGCACGTTTGGGAAAGAGACGGTGATATATATCAGGGAGTGTTCATACGGTTTGAATAGGTTAGCATACTATTGCGCCAAAGTGGTTGCAGATGTTCCAAGAATATATTTTTCAGCTCCCGGGACCTCTATGGGGTTTACGCTCCGATTTGTGTCTGCGTTGAGCAACCGTGAAATACTTTGCGGCTTCACTATACTTGTAACCTTTGCCTATATAATCGGCTATACTGTTTCCTTCTTGTTTCCTTATGAGAAGTGCAGCCTCATTTGTGTGTGCTTTGGTTTGTGCATGGGCAGCACATTTGGAGGTGCGTCACCTTGTAATCCAACTCCTGGATAGCCTTGGGATGAACAGATTTTGGGCGTCCTTACAAGCATAATCTTATGATAGTGAACCCTGCTAGATGGTTCAACGAATACTGCTGGTATAAAACGACCTTCTATCCCTATACATGGTGATATGATCTGAAGTCCCTACAGCCAGCGCTGTGCAAATGTAGATCTGAATCGGCTCAGCCTGAGCCTCACGTCCAACAAGCGCAATATGGAGATAAACTAGGCTTTCCCCCTTGCTCGCCCAGTTTTAAAACAGCACCCGCCACAGTTGCACTTCGGAGGTTGGCCCCATAGATGCACAGTATTTTCCCCACGGTTTAGGGCAGAGCAGACTCATTTCTCCGAAGGTTCCGTCCAGCCAGGTATGAATGTTAAACGCGACACAGTTTCGTCCTCCGCGAGTCCCCATCCTGCGGGACGTGACCGCGGCATTGATCCCTCATGGCGAGGATACTAGACCACCACATTTTATTGCCGACTCCAGTCAGTTTACATTCAGTAAGACCATCCAAGAGAAACGTAATCTACCCCGTTAGTGTATTCTTTGATTAGATCAGTGACTAAAGCATCGTTAAGTTCGTCGAATTCAACTTCACCGGTCTTGTCTTTGTCATAATTAGCGAATGCAGTATCAATAATAGTTCGCAAGCGCGCATCGTGTTCGTCTCCTGCCTTCGGCAGGGGGATCTCACTTTATCCCCTCCCCTCAAAAGAAGATTTTCCTGGGGTGCGCTCAGGCGCACAATACTAGAAGAGGATGTCAGCGACAGACGATACTCGTACTCGAGTACGAGATATTATCTTCTGTCTCTCTCCTCTGTATCCTGAATATCCTGGCTGATATATCCTGGCGGCTATATCACCTGCACATATTTCGTTCTCTACATGATGTAGCTCTGGTTTTGGTTGCGATCACAGTGCACCTGCTACCATAAAAGACGGCGATTATTGTCGTCAGAACGCGAGTGTGACTAAGCACAATCAAAGTGCGCTTGGCGATAAGCCAGCTACCTAGGGACTTATGCTGGGACGCTATACTAGCCTATGCTGGCTATGCTGAGTCTGCCTTATAATATCGCCCCGAAGGCGCTTTCCTTTTCCGAAATCAGAAATGGAAGTGCCTCCTCGTCTCTGCCTGCCTAGTGTGGTATTAGCAGGTTCGGCTCTTCGACGAAAATCTGTGGCAGCAAATATTTTAAAGAAAACGCTCACCCAGTAAATATGATCCAGAATTGTGATGGAGAGTGCTGGAAGTAACGGCAACATTTTACTGGAGTGCACAGGGATAATGCAGTATCAATAGAATTTCTTCTGCATCCAACGGGTCATCACCTGGAGGAGTCGAGAAGGCTCCAATTACTTGTGTTTAAGAAACTTCTTCAAATCACGTTTTTAAAATAGGCTGCCGTTCAGTTTTCTTGGCCTTGGCACATATGACTTGCATTTTCCGACTTCCATGCTTCTTGCGTGACATTTCATCGGTGTGTGCTGACTAATGAGACCCTTATGGAAGACTGGTGGTCACTAGCGAACTAAATATAGATGAGCTCTATAATATCCTCCTTCGCTTTTGTGATATTTGCGCTACCCCTTGCCAAAGTATTGTCGATATCAATCAGACCGCAGGGTTCGCTTTGAGGGAGGGGGGGCGATGTCACACTGGCTTCTACATGGAACTCTGATTTCCTCGATGAGGATTCAGTCTGCTTGGAGGATTCCCCTTTATAAAGCTCGCAAGCCACGTTTGCGTCTCCTTGGTCGGCCAAGAGGTGCTTATCGCCACCAAGTTTGCGTCTCCGCCTCCGACGCCTGAGGCAGATTAAGAGACAGACAAACAAAACAGCTGCACCAATGGCATAAGCCTGAGTTCTGCTGAATGAAGATGTTTCAACAACCTTAGACTCAAGTTGAAAGGTGCTTGGAGCAGCCGTAGGTTGTGCTCTTGGGGATGGCGTGGGTGCACTTGTGGGTGCGAACGAGCTGGTGGGTGGCGTGCTTCCCGATGGACTCGTTGTTGGTCGGTCGGTGGGACAAATGCAGTGAGTACAGTCACATCCGAGTTCACCGAACTCTAAACAGTTGGATTCTGGATAGATACCTAGAAGATCAGCGCAGCTAGAACCATAACAATTCGGAACACAGCGATCTCCAGTTGGTTTCGGTGAGCGCGACGGGGCATATGAGATCGTTGGTTCGTGGGAGAATGTAGGTGACGCAGTGGGAACGGGGGATACTGACGGGCTGGGGGTTGCTGTGGGAGGAAGAGTGCAGCCTCCCGCGGCTGCTTTTCCCATATGGAGCTGGACCGTTGTCAAAAACGGAGAAATACCAGAGAATTGATCATCAAAGACAAATACAAAGATAGCCGTTCCTATACGACCCGACCCTCCAAAATCAAAAAGATAGCAGCCGTTTGCTAAACATATCGTTTTCGAATCATAAGAACCCTGCTCGAGGTCTAATGTCAGGCTCGTAGCATCAGAAGTCAAAGGGGTGATAACCAGTCGATTTCTTTGCCATCCAATGCTGAGCGGACTCAGGAGTACAATCTCATAGCAGTAGGTAGATGTCGGAGAAGATGTAGCTGTTGGGCCCCCTGTGGAGGTTGGACACAGTGTCGGACTTGAACTGACGCTGGGCGCTGGCGAGCATAAGCCATCCAGGATGCGTCCATCGACCAACAACAGCTCAGTAGTTGAGTATGGGTCCAATAATACGACGACAGATGGCGTCTTTACTTCACCAAGGGACCACGCAATTTCATCCCGACCACCGTAAGGATTGCCGACGATAGAGAAACTATGACAACCATTTTGCAAGCAGGCGCGCTCCTGCTCATAAGCTTGTTCAAAATTCAAAGTTCCAGACGCAACGACGAGCCCAGAATCATCTTTGATATGGTATGAATTTCCGAACCAGCCATCGCCAGCTTCGTCTTCGAGTGTGATCACATATTTATAGCAATTGTTCGACTCCTGGCAATTCACCAGGACCAGGGGAACCAAAAACCGTTCGAAGCCAATCATGAAACAACGCGGCACTAGCCAGCTCGTGCTTGATCGCGAGGCGCAAGCATCCCCGAGGTTATTGACTTTCGCAAGAGCTCCCCACTAAGGACGATTCACCGAAAAAGGCATCTTCATCCTCAAGGGGAAATCTTAATAGAATACCATCCATCAGATCATTAAATTCTTTATTTGGAAACATAAAATACAGCCAGCAGTTTTATTTAGCTGGATGATGATAGTGGAGTCAGTACTCCTACTAGTGGGCCGGGCTCGAGTTCGACCGGGCGCACAGGTCTGATTTCGGCAAGGTGATGCCGAACGCCGTGCGCGCGGGTCCGGCGTCCAAGAAAGGGGTGACTTTAAATTCGGTCCTGCGGACGGGGTCGATCGAGGGGCTGCATTACTACAGTGTCGCGTTGGTTTACAGCGAAGGGGGATACGGTTCGGACGTATCGATCGCGCGGCGGCGGCGGATCCGAAGCGGCCATGCGGGCCGCCGGAGGCGCAGAGCGCCCTGCGGGCGATTGTGCGACATGTGGTGCGACCGCATTTTGTGTCGCCGTTAGACCAGAACGGACCGATGGAGTTTATAAGTCTGGTAGCCTTCGGGCGGACTGGAGCCCATGTTGAAGGCAACACCCAGCTCCTAATCCAACTATATCATTCAATATCTAGTATCATTCCTTAATATGCGCAGGTGATATAGCCGCCAGGATATATCAGCCAGGATATTCAGGATACAGAGGAGAGAGACAGAAGATATATCTCGCACTCGAGTACGAGTTATCGTCTGTCGCTGACATCCTTTTCTATTATTGTGCGCCTGAGCGCACCCCAGGAAAATCTTCACCCATCCAGGTCCTAGACTAGGCTAGTCCCGAGCTGGGTGGAGCCCATGTTGAAGGCAACACCCAGCTCCTAATCCAACTATATCATTCTATATCTTGTATCATTCCTTAATATCACCTGCACTCAGGATTAGTCGTTTAGCGCCGGGCGGGCGATTCCGGAATCGA